CACTCTACCACTCCACATTCCACAGTCCTACACCCATCTGACACTGTCTTTTATTACTTCTGCTCCACTGGCACTATCACACATCAACGAATACCGCACATCTCTCCCCTTCCCCAACCCACCTGCATACGTTCCACAGTGCAGTGGGCGAAACGACGAGAGACGGGCTAACATCTACCCAAATCCCTAAAACGCCAAATCATACCGTCCACTTTGATGACATTTGCGATCAAGGAACTCAGCTAAAGCGAATGGCCAGGAAGTTATAAAAGCCCTACAAAAAGGTGTTTCAAAATTTTTCGATAGAGTTCAGCTTAGTTGAACAGTGATTTAGAACAAATGCATTTTTAAAATTTTTTATTCATTGCCATCACTCAATAGGATGGGGGGAGAGAGGGCATCACAGCTAGCGTCCCTGTTCCATGCGCTTAATTTCAGCGTCTTCCAAGCCTCACTCTTCATCAGTATCCTCATCATCATCCTCATCCTCCTCCCACTCCTCCTCGTTATCATCATCATCATCAACATCATCATCATCGTCGTGGTCATCATCATCATCGTCGTGGTCATTGTCATCATCCTCGTCGTCGTCGTCCTCGACGTCCTTCTCCTCCTCCTCCTCCTCCGCCTCGTGGCCATCATTATCAACATCATCGTCGTCCTCGTCCTCGTCGTCATCATGCTCATCATCGTCGTCATCATCATGCTCATTATCATCATCATCATGCTCATCATCGTCGTCGTCGTCGTTCTCATCGTCATTATCGTCGTCGTCATCGTCATGGTTGTCGTCATCCTCGTCCTCCTTTCCCTCATGTTCACCATCTTGGTTGTCTATCACATGCCCTTCTTCCTCTGACTCGCTCTGCTTTCGCGTCAAGTGCGATTTTTTGAATGCATCACCTCTTTCGGCCGACAGGGCCAAGAGAACAAGCATCCCAACGATAGCAATGAGGAAACGCATGACTTTCGATTCGAGGCAAATTAGTTGCCAGCTACCGTGTTCTCAGCCTCATATATATTTTTCAACATCCCACCACGAAGAACGGAATCCAATCGTCATGCAGAGGACTGAAACACACTGACACGCGGCGATCGTCAATTCGGTAATCATTCAGTGGATGGCTCATGCCGTACTCTATGTGGGCCAATGCATGAGTGAAGGAGATGCGATAGGGAGACGCTTTTCTAGAACGATGGAGTGAACTGACGCACAAGGAGAACTCTCTGTCAATAACATCAGATCACATAGCAACAGAACTCAACTAAAATATACGGAGCGTTAAAATATTATAAAATACGAGTGGCACTTAATTATCTTGATACACTGAGAAGCATTTTTGAGACTTGAAAATGAAATTCACAAAACGCAGCAATTCAAGCACGCGTCAGTGAAGTGCCACCCAGTGTGATCAGCATGTCGGCGAAATAGTCAGCTCGTCGGGTAGTGTAGGAAACAAATAGATGATCCGCTGTCCCTTTCTGCGCAGGTCTCTTTAGACGGTGACTGTTGGAAAAACACGTAGATCTATTGGGAAGCGTTTTTTGGAGAGCTGACTGAGGGTCGAATCATGGTGCCACCTTTGGGAATCGGGATTTTCCCAAATATATTCTCTCAAACTACTCTATCCATGTCATCCACTAATTATAATTGCTAAGTATTTCTCGTGACTGCTGAGATTTTCGCTATTACAGATACCCAAATCATAAATATTCAATCATTTTTAGTCTACTGATGCACTTCGTCATGGTTCAGTATTTTCTTTTCGATTTCAAAAAATTCCTAAACAAAACTCCACATTTGACAATTTTCCCACTGTGCTTAACATGTTTAAGCTTTTGAAGTGCTCTAAGCAACCGTGTAGATATGGCACATTGACTAACACGACCGCATTTGCGACTAAAACGATCTGCCTGACCTGATTGTTTCAAGATATTGCATCTAGATCTTCTCAGCCATCATACCAATTGTAATGCTTAAAGCCCATTTTATACCCCGCACGATGACTATACGAAAGGTAGTAGTTGAAACAAGGATTCTAACTTGAAGATGTGCTTGACTATAGTGTTTCCTTTTCAGAACAATGAGACGAAATCGGATTAAAGCAGATTTTGGCTAGATCGCAATTGGTAGCCCGGAAAGGGGAAGTGGACGGCGACCTTAACCCTAACCCTAACCTCAACCGTTACCGTTAAACGTTAACCCTAACGACAGCCCTAACTCTAGCCGAAATCGTAAACCTAACCGTAGCCCTTAGGCATAGCCGTAACTGAGAAGCCTAACCGTAATACTGGAACCTAGTCGTACGCTCAAACCTAACCATAACCCGAAACCCGAAGCCTAAAGGCATAACCCTAACCGTAAAATCGTAAACACTTAACCGGTACCCTAATCCTAAGCTCAAGCGTAAAACGGAAGCCAATTGTGTCCGATGGGACTATGGACGCCCACAAAATAACCCCAGTAAACAAACACCCCAGCCACCCGTAATGCGGGTCCGGGCTACCAACAGCGATCTAGCCCAGATTTTGTCTGCCGAGGTACATAGAAGATCACAGAAATTAAGAATTATTTCGTTGATATAAACGCAGTTACCTTCCTCGCTGTCGCTGGGAATATGACCACGGTAATTATATCGTTCTTCCATAGTGTTCTTTATTGATTTTTTCCCGATAGGTTTCTACTGACATGTAAGACGATGTCGCCAGGACATATGGCTTAATCCGTAACAGAAGTGGACAAATCCCTCCAATCCTAGCAAAACCTATCCGGGCAGCATGCCACTTTCAGGTTAAGTGCATCCCGCGGCGTGTGACAGTACGCCTATGCATGCGCCAGCCAGTCATATAGGTGGAAGCCAATCACTGTTATCTCTAAAACAAAATGAGAATGCTTATGTTTTCAAAGTAATTTTT